GTATAGTATATTATATCATATATTTAATCCAAATCCCATATGTGATCAGAAGAGTGTAGGGCAGTAATTAGTAACAGTTAGTAGCTTTGAATTTTAGCAAAGTACAGGTATAATAAAAGCCTTTAGTAGTTTGCTTTATTTATGTATTATTTAAGTTGTTTTTAAACTTATGTCTGTTATAGATAGATAGGTTACACTTTATATATTGAATAAAGAACAACATTCAAACTCCATTCATCAATCTCGAAAGTGTTTTCTTGGTACTTCTCACCTGGTGGTCCAGGACTGCCACCTCTGCCCTGCTCCCCTTGTTCTCCTTTCTCCCCTCTGACTCCACCTTCACCGTATGAACCCTTTAGGCCCAGAGATCCTGTTAAACCAGAAACAAAACAGGGCTTCAATAATGACTCAAAAAAAAAAAAAGACTAACACAACACAAATATCACCCCATTTAATTTACCTGGAACACCTTGTAATCCAAATGGTCCTGGGAGTCCAGGCAGGCCAGGAGGTCCGGGAACAGTTTTGCAAGAGCCTGACAATAATATATCAGAAACTTTTTAAAAAATTTTTCTGCTGAACGGGTAGTTTATAAAGAATTATTTTGGTGCAGGTGGTATTTGTCTGCTGCCCAGCGTGAACGGTTTTCAGAACGGGACAGAATCATTACATTAGCTGGTATCTCAATACTGTAACTTTCAAACTGTAAACAAAAAGAAAAATCATGCACATCAGTTAAATAATCCAAAAGCAAAGCACAACAGAGTCGTTATAATGAAAAAAAAAACATAAGAAGAAAACATTTTATACCAGCTACCTGTGTCATCCACCTGTCCTCCATCACCTCCTGATATACAGCCACCTTTTCAGTCGCAAATGAGGGAGAATGAAAGAAGAGACACGCATTCGGAACAAGAGTTATTCAAAAGCACAAGCATTGTCTCGAACRAGCTCAGCTGTAGCTGGTTTAAGGGATGCAGCTCCTGCGTTAATTAGACAGCAGAAGGAAACAAAGTGGCTGGTCTTCATGCTTTCTTGTCTTTTAAACCCAAGCCACTAACGTACAGTCCAGCTTTACAGCTTTGCACTGGATTATAGAAGATTTTGAAAGAAGTAAGGCAAAACTTACACAGAAGTTAAAACAGGCAAAATTTATATGGAAAGCAGAAATATGCACTAAACAAATGAGACTGAATAGAAACAGGAAACAGGAAACAGTCAGCTGGTTCTTACCAGGACTTCCCTGTGCTCCTGGTACTCCATGGTAGCCAGCAAGACCATCGTCTCCAGGCGGACCACGCTGTCCTTTGATGCCTATAATGTCTGGACCAGGTTCTCCTCTGAACCCGTCTGCACCAGGTGAACCAGGTTGCCCTTGGAACCCTTTGTCTCCCTGTTGTCCCCGGGGTCTTTCACCCTGTTGTGAACCACAAACAGCAAAGAGCAAAGAAAGAAAAATAACAAACAAAATACTTTTATTAGGTAAACTCAGGTGCAAAGTAGGTGAAATTACACAACACTTGGGATACGGAGCCGGTTTTACAGATGGAACAGATGAACTCACTGGAAGACCATGAGCGCCATGCAAACCAGGAAGACCATTTGGGCCTGGAGCCCCCGGTACCCCTGCCAAACCATCTCTTCCTGGATCTCCAGGGTCACCGGGATATCCTGGGGGGAATATAATAAATATATACCATTTGCCATAAACCAACAAACACCGCAAAGGTTATTGGATCTTCTCATAGAGATTCATAAACTCTGCACCTTTCTGTGAGGCAACAGTCAGGTCTCCTTTACGACCCTTTGGACCTGGAAGACCAGCAAACCCAGGAGAGCCCTTCAACACAACACAGAYGAGTGAGAGGAAACACCAATGAGCCGACGATTAACAACAAAAACCAATGAATACATTTTTTTCCATTTGTTTTCTAAAGGGGAGATTTTTCTCACAGGCTGTCCATCTCTTCCTCGAGGACCCTGGTCTCCGGGGTCACCCTCACCACCAAATTCTCCACTCATCCCGGCATCCCCAGGCTCGCCGGCAGGACCAGGCAAACCACGCTTGGAATTTCCAAGCCTGCACTCACACACGCCGCGGTCACCTGTATCAAACGACGTCGTCCGTTAGAAAGTATTTTACAGAATTAAAATGGYTATGGTTTTAAAGGGAAAAGAGGAAAGGCGTGTGATTTGAGCACCTTTCTGTCCTTTCAAGCCTGCAAAGCCGGGGCGTCCTCTTATTCCTGGGTCTCCAGCAAAGTATTTTTCCACTAAAAACAAACAGGAGGAGGAAATATTTAAAAAGAAGGGAAATGTTGCTTTTATTTTTTTAAAACTACTACTCACACAATAGTTTGGGTCCTGGTGGGCCTCTTTCTCCTCGACGTCCTTCATTTCCTGGGGGTCCCGCGATGATAGCAGGCCACCCCGGATCACCTTGCTGGCCTTTGTCTCCTTGTTCTCCTTTAAAACCAAACGGGCCGAAGAAATCCCACCCTGACAAACACAAAGATTAGTTTAGTGGTTTTCGACAGAATATTTTATTTGTTTTGGTTTTCTTCACAACTTCTGATTTTTTAAAACAACAGAGAAAGGATAAAGGTTGATGGTGCAGCTGCTCATGCTGTGTCAGCTCTCTTGATAATAAATATTTACAGCAACTAAAATATCACCTAAACATTCGTTTATTATAATTAGATTGCCTCTCAAATATGACTTCATTATTATTTTGACAGTAAGTAGTTTCTTTTATGAGCAATTCCTAAAACAAATAACGCAGGGAGCCAAAAATAATACAGACTCCAAGTTAAAACTGGATACATTAGTTAAATCACTAACACAAGCTAGAAAAACAGCTACCACTGAATGTGATATGATTTCCATTTAACCRAAAAACAAACATTGAAATCAAATGTTCTCAGTGTCATGAATCTATGTCAGTTCAATTAATTTTGTATAGCAACAATTCACTGTAAAAACAATAATTTCAGTGTTTCACGTGAGACAAAAAAGGCCTTTTGAACATATATATATATTGGGGTGCAACAATACAGAAAATTCATGATTCGGTTCGGTTCAATACTTTAGTCTCACGGTTCGATATTTTTTTGATACAAATAACTGAAATTTCCATGTCCTTTTTAAATTGTAATTTATTGAAATTATTTATGAACATTTGTTTAACCTCAAAAGTACTGTTTTTAAATTAAATTTAAACTTAAATTTTGCTGAAACAG